CCCCCCCCCCCCACACACTTTCTCAACAGGGAAACATGCAAAATTCTGGATCTTGCCACCACCAACTGGAAGAGATAAATATGTCCATAGATAATGATCACGTACTTAACAACTACTTTCCAGCGAGGGTGGCCATCATAGAGGACAGTCTGGTTGTCCTCTGTCGACACGAAACTGGACGCCTTAGAGAAAAAGAGGACATAAAGGCATCCGGTTTCATATTGACAGAGGACTGAGTAGCAGAAAACTGGAATGTCCTTCATGATGACCACCCTATTTCCAGCATCTCTCCCACCTACAAACACACACAAAGCAGCTACCATACGGGCATCAAATTTAGTTTACTGCAGCAAGCAAGCAGCATTTCAGGAACTCAAAGCACTTTGGATTTATGTGAACAAGTAAGAGTCTTCCCAAAACCCAGGCCTTTCAGCCCCCAACCTGTCTGCTTAAGGAATACATGCACACTTGGGGCTGCATAGCTGCTTGTGCCTAATCAGGACAACGAAACTTGTCGGCCAAAGGCACAAAGATCAAGGCAGAAATGGGATTAGGAGATTTGTAGAGGAACTGCCCATTTTCTGTTATTGTTTAAGACTTAACACAAACCAGAAGATGCAAGGCTGGAAAAGCCCAACAGCACCTCCAAAGCTTTGCAGCTTGAAAGCAGCAATGCAAAAATGCCAAGGGCTAGTCATCAACTGATTAGTCTAATGCTTTTCACTCTAGTTCTGTTATTCCAACTAAGCCCCAGCATGATATCTTCCAAACAGCCATGTGCTCAATGAAGATCTCCTAAAACCAGAGCTCAGCAACCCTTGCAAGATGGTGTACATCCTCCACACTAAAACAAATGGTAATCCCACCCTCTGCCTGGCTGCGATGGGCCTGTGCATTTACCATTCTCCAACTAAGTACCTATTTAGCCCTATGCCTACAGGGTGATCTGCCAAAATGATGCAATGAGTGACTGTTCTCCTGATTAGCTTCTAATCTACAGTCTGGATTTCCAGAAATGGACAGCTCTCTGGAGACTACTTGGAAAAGTAGCAGGGCAGCCTGCATCAAGGAAGTAGGAATCTGCAGACAGAAAGCTGACATAAGTTCACCTTTTCCTGTCAGGGTACCAGATCCTGAGGTGGGACTTGCTGCAAACTTAACTGACTTCTCCAAGCTCCATTACTGTATCTGAATTGCTTTTCTTAAAAATAATAATTTGCATTTCTGTTTAAAATTTCCTGCTGGTACCCAACAGTGTCTTCCCTTCTCCCCCCACAACATGCTACAGAGACACAGCTACAATACCAATTTGCTGAAAAGAGGCAGAATAGCTGTTCACTGGGAGGCCAAGAGGTGTTGAGTTTTAGACCTTTAAAAGCAACTTCAGCTGTATAAGAGGAAAAAATGGATTGCAAAGCCCTGAAGTTTCCCCAATGCTGTTCGACAATCAGTGCCTCATCAGGAGAGCTGAACCAGTTTTGGAAATGGGCCACTTCTCCTGGAAAGAAGAAACTTCAAGACGCCCCTTTTAAAGACAAAGATTACTCTCTGACTTCAAGCCAAGTGGCTGTGAACACGTCATCCAACTCCACAAATACACGTGTTTCCAATTTACGGAAACACTCTTGGGTTCCAGGACTGAAACGAGACACCAGTACAGTAGGGGATGTTCTAAAACAATGACTCCAATCCAAATTCTTTGGCAGTTCCGTCTCCACTGTGCTTCCCCATCCAGGAAATGCTTCCAAAAGATGACAGAAATTGTTGTGCAGGGAAATGATCTTATGGAACCAGGGAGTACCTGACCGAATCTCTCCCTTGCTAAACATGCACCCACCTCTACCAGCAAACACATTAGATTGAAGCTCCAGTCAACTTCTAGTGCCCAGGTCTAGCTCTTCATCACCCAAAAGAAACAAGACTAACCAGATCATTTGCCCAGATCATTCACAGAGTTGAGAACAGCACTGACTTGGGGGTGTCCAGGAAGTGTTGGGTGAAATCACAGCAGGGACTGTCCTCCCCAGTGGGCAGGATTGCAGTAGATCCCAACTGTCACTATGGCAAGCAGCGGTGCAACTCTACCAGTTTTAGCAGTGGGAAGCCAGTATACACCAACTGTCATCACCAAGCTGTCTAACCTCGTTGTGTAGGCTTCCTTTGAACATGTTTGTTAAGGTGTCAGCAGTTACCCACAGCTCACTGATTCCAATCCCACTGTTGCCAACCAGTCTCTAATGTAGATAAGCCCTGCCACAGGGGCTGGATGCACCTCCAGACAGCTTTGATCTGGGCTAGTTTGATTCACATGTGAAGCACAGTTCATTTTTATGCAGTCTGAGGTTAGGACGTGGCCATTTTGCAGGGATTCTGGGACAGAAGCTCTTGATCCCAGCAAAAAAAAAAAAGGCAAGATTAAGATGCACAAGCAGACTTTTGCCAGTGACTTATACAGGCTTGCTTATAAAACACCAAACATTTGGACACTGAAGAGCTTGAAACCATTAAATGTTAGCTTCCCTTTTGTTGCTAAAACAGATATCCAATGTCCAGCAACAGCTTCCATCCCACCAAAAGGGGTTGCACTTACAACAGCTGTACTGTGTTAAAAGGTCTCTGTGGATTACAGCTTGTCCTCCTGGCAGGTAACGGACATGCCTGCTCCAGGCTTCCAGCTCCCTCTGGGCCCTGCCAACTAACTGTGCTGTGCTACTCAAGTCACCTGGCCAGAGAGAGCCTTCACACTGCTCTATAGATTCATTTAAAGACAAGAGCAGATGCTCAGGAAAATCCTCATAGTCCCGGGAAACCAAATCCAAGGTTGAACTGAGAGTGTTGCTATGACCATTACCTAGATATTTTTGCTGGTATTTGGTATTTATTTTGGACTTGGTATTCCATCCACATTGTCAGAAACACCATCAATTCTGTTCCATTTTTACACTCGCCTTCGCTCCAGCCTGTGACTCACTACACAGTAAAGAAACCTGCACAAAACACTGCAGTATATGACTCAGATGAGAATACAGCTGAAACACCATTCTTATCAAGACATAAACCATATCCCAATGATTCACTTGGGGGGAGAAGGAGGAGGAGAAGTGGTCTGTGAAGAGATCCAAGAGCCATTTCTGAAGATGCAGCCTTTCCAAACAACACATGGAAGCCAGGAACATGAAAGCCACATCCCTCTAGAGTGGTCCATGATGCTACATATGCAAACCCCACCTCCAGAAAAGGGTCACCAAACTCTTACTTCATCCTAACCTCCTAGCAGACTCCCCATTATCATCTCCCTTCCTCATCATCATACACATTTGACCCTCTTATATGGATGCATATGATCTGCTGACTACTGGGAAGCTTTACAGGACCACGGACTTTCGGCTGTAGAAGCGATACGAGAGGGTTAAGCTAGTTTAAAGAGAGAAAATTAATACCTCCCCCCGGTAGCATTCTTCTCACGTCACTCTGCTCAAACCTGTGCCAAGTGACTGCACAGTGACAGAAGGTGGGAGGGGATGAAAAGCAAAGCCCCACCAATAGTGCCTGATTTAGAGGCCTTCCATGGCCAGAGGGCATAATGATGCATCCCGATCCAGCTGAGTCCATTTCAGACCCTGCCATGTTGTTGCCATAAGGACCCCTCAGCAAGCTCTCAGACAAAAGGAGGCTGCCCTAATGGCTTGGTGCACCATGGTCCCAGCTGTCTCCAGGCAAATAGGCCCAAAACAATTCCCCCCCCCCCCGAGAAGGGATAGAGGACCGGATGCAGCACTTACTACGTGCAAAACAAAGCAGCTTTAAATGCCACGTGCATGTATAGGCCAGGCTGTCACCCCAAGTCCCACAAGACGCAAGGAAGATTCAGACTTCAAAGAACAAGCAAAGCAATTCGAAAGCCACACGGGCTCCGCACAGGTTTCAGGGGACATCACTTGTCTGCTGCTCAAGCGCAATGAACGCTTGCTCGTCACTGCAATGAGAGCAAGTGGAGACAAAATAACCTGTGATATCAGCCAGCCTGCCTGCTACCAGGACCACATGCCTCCCACAAGACAAAGGACACAGCCATGCTAAGGGACCACACCAGGTCAGCAGACAGTTTCCCCGTGGAGACAGAAACACAAAATAGGTCAATACTTATTCATCCGTTCTCAAGAAAATGGTAAGCACTGTCTTCCCCCAGCCCCCTTCTCCGACAGGAGTTGGGATCTTTCCCTGGCAGGATCAGGGAATATGCAGCCACTGCCTCACAACCAGTTCGAGCTCCTGGCGCACAGGCTGCAGCCCCTGGTTTGAAACCTTCCCGAGACAAAGGTACACATCTCTCTCCCTCCATCATAAAGCCAAACGCAAGCACTGCCCTGCCGTGTCTAGCGCTGCTCTCAGCCCTGGTCAGCACAGCGCGAGATGCCACGCCAGCGGCTTAGATGCAAAAACTGCCTCTTTCGGCACCGACAAAAATGGATAAAACCGCCCAGCAGAGAGGAGACTCCAGCTCCCGAGGAAACCCCGATGGCTCCTGCTCCCCCTTCATTCCTCAAGGACCGCTCGTGTTTGGGATGAAAGGAAAGAGGAGCCCCATGTCAGCGTGGAGGATGAATCAAGCCATAGTCAACTACGGGGACGAATCGAGGTGACTCAAGTCCTAGTCAACTACAGCGGGGGGAGGGGGAAAAGTCATGACCGCACAAAGCAGGAGAAAAACCAGGTGGGCAGCGATGCTGCTCCGAGCGCCGGGGGCCTGTCCCGGCCACCACACGACAGCCCGCGGCGCTGCCCGCTCCCGGGGAGCATCGTCGTGACAACAGGAAGCCGCCGCCCGGCTCGGGCCTCGCGGGAGAGGCTGCCGGCGCCCGCAGCGGGTCCTCCTCGCCAGGGAGGCCTGGAGCACCGGTCTCACCTGCTGGTACTCGGCGTCCTCCGGGCGGAAGTCGGCGGCCGTGGGCTCCCAGCGCAGGCTGAAGTGCGGCAGGCGGTGCAGCAGGCTCACCCACCAGGGCGGCGAGTAGCTCACGCCCGCCATGCCCGGCCCCCGC